CTACTTGCTATTATTTATTGCTATATATATTGCTATATCCCTACATTTTATCTGCACACCTGCTTCTCTAAAACTAAAAACAGTAAAAGCAAATTAGCTACTTAGGTCCTTATTTTCGTGGTAAAATCAGTTTGTTTGATTAGGAAAAGTACTGAGAACTCATATTTATGTGAACTTAAGATAACAGAGGAACTGCATGCAGCTTAGAGTAGATTTGTGCATGTGAGATGCTCCAATGCACTAGTTATCTCACAGCTTCTCATGTTGCTGAGTGGTGCCTCCCACACACAGAGAGTGAGGGAGAGAACTCACTTTGAGCAATTAGTCCCCCTTTAATGCAAATCCTGTGTGGCACATGTCGAAGAAATGGAGTAGATGGAGCGTTAGAGGCATGCTGGGAGATTTTTTAGACATTTGTAAGACAGCAAAAACAGCCTGTCATGAAGGGAAACTCTGGTTACTTGCACTGACAGCATACGAGGCCAGTGTTATAACGGCAATATAAACTTCAGTGAGTTCTAAAAGAAGGTAGTGATAAAAGTGAAAGGATATTTGGGAAATGTCCCAATGGTAAAATATTTTTCAGCAAACCATAAGCCATTTTTGAAGTATAAAATTTGAGGGTAAACCCTTATCCTACAATCATATCATATCATATAGTTGAAGAGGATAAAAAAAAGCTTGTAATGCTCTTTTCTGTAGCTGTTACTCAGATTATGTGGTGTAATACAAAAATGTTAATATTAATTAGAATGTTACTTTATAGTTTCATACTGATTTAGGAAGGTGACAGACAAATATATCCCAAAAACTATCAAATAGAAATATATTATTCAATATCATTACAAGACCTTAAATTGTATAAAGATGATAACTTGATGTGTTTAAGTAATATTAAGTAATATTGTAAAATATTATTATTATAACTTTTTTCTATTTTAAAATGTAATTTATCCCTGTTATGGCAAAGCTGAATTTTCAGCATTAGTTTCTCTAATCTGATCACTTGATCTTTTTAGAAATCATTCTAATATGCTGATTTGGTGCTTTAGGATTATTGGATGAATAGAAAGTTCAAAAGAACAGCATTTTATTGAAAAATAAACCTTAACAATGTAAATGTCTTTACTGTCACTTTTGATCAGTGGCGTGCCCTTTAACCGCCAACGGCAAAGTTACATTTCGGTCCAATCTAGATGCCCCCGGACCGCGATTTCAAGTCTTCAAGTGTTAAAGTCTTGCAAACTAAGGTCTTGAGAAACTAACACATACATATACAGTTACTCTAACTCAAAATAATAATTTGAAATGCTCCGCAACTCACTGCACTGCAAATAACTGACAATTAACATAAACCGCTGACTGCTCTTTCTAATTCCAGGTAAGAAATTAGTCTCTTTAAAAAAAAATGTTTTAAATCCCGAAAAAAGCAGACTAGTCATGGCCGCCAGTTGATTACTGTTGATAACTGCTTACTTGTGACAACGTTCTTGCTGGCTGGGGGTCCACGGGTGTTGTTCTTTACGACCTCAAGCTTGACTTCATACTCTTGTCCAGGTCCAAGACCAGACTGCTCAAAGGTGGTCTCAGGAGGGGTGAGAGAGTTCAAAATCTCTCCATCCTCTTCTTTCTGCCATTCAAAAACAGATTTTTTTTTTGTTGAACTGAATTGGTGAATATATTAAATCTAATAACAAATCGCTGGTCAAAGGTTCTGCTGGTTAATAAAAGAGCACCACAAATCATCAAAGAAGCAACCTCAGGAAAACAAAGTCAAGCTCCCATGAACTACGGGGTAATGAAAGGGTGTCCTGAGAGTAAACACTTTGGTCTATTAGCTGATTCTACTTGGATGAGTGTTTTAATTCACAGTGAGAGTTATTTTGGCATTGACATCCCTAAACTGTGAATGCGTGAATGAGACTGCCAAGCTGTGTTTTGAAAGAGGCATGTAGGGGAGGTTTGCATGTTCTAATGGTGCTGTTTTTTGGAGTTTGCATGAGCCCTTGAGAAAGAAAATAAAGCATTACAGAGACAAAAACAATTTTGTGGCACATGGTCACGCATGCTGTTGCCAGGAGCTTCTTAGAGGGTTTTGTCTTGCAAAACCACAGACTTCTCGACAGTAGCTTTTTGCTTAGTGGCACCACTCAGCTATTTTCCACTGGGTGCCTTTTGAGCTTCTCATTTTAAACTATTACTTTCAAACAGAAGGGTCCTTTTATATTACATCTTTTAGGAGAAAATATGAGGGCAAAGATAGACTTTAGGATCATAGCCACCCTAGAGACTTATGGAAGATGCCAGGACACTCACTGTGTTTCTGAAGATGAGGTTCCAGCCATCAAACGGGATGTTCAAGGGGTCCCACTCCACCTCCACTGAGGTCTCTCTAACCGATTTGAATTTCAGACCCTCGGGTTCAGGAAGATCTGTTTGTAAGATATAAAGCAGTTTAGCAAAATATACTCAGTACAGAATAACAAGTAATTTTCCTGAGCATGATGATGGGTGACTTACGTGTGGCTATTCTGGCACTGACAGGAACACTCATTTTACTGTTCAGGACAGCAAAGACACTAATTAGGTACTCTATGCTAGGCTCAAGCTCCCTAATAGTGGCTGTCTTCTTTTCACCAGAGACTTTCATTTCCATCTCCAAGCCACCAGGAGCCGTAGGCACATAGGTGATAAGATACTCCGTCACAAGCATCTCATTGACCCAGGCAAGGTCCGCTGTTTCTGGATCGACCTCAGTCACAGTCAGGTCTCTGGGTGGGGAGACTGTGGTTTGAAACGTCAAATTATTGACTTAATCTTAGTTCAGAACCTCTGAGTAAAAGAGCAACATGCAGGACATTTCCTTTACATTGAACAGTTTGTGGGAGAGAGAATTGTTAAGAGAAATACTTCATTCTATGCCAGATGAATGTGCAGGGACAACTAAATAAACCTTTTATAGATAGATTTCCTAAAACAATGTGGCTCTATGGTGCTGTCAACACATTTCCTGTCATAGCAACACTCAACTAATGACATGAGATTAGGGCGGAACTACTGGTTAGTCTGACCAATAGCAGATGGGGAGGAGTGTTTGGGAAACCTGTTTGAAACAGTTGTTTGTGCAATTTTGTTTGATGATGCCATTGATGTTGTCCTAGCGATGTCACAATTATTAATTTTGGCTGACAGGAAATTGTCATACAAATAATTGCAAATAATGGTTTAATTATCTGTTTTGTTCATGTCACTTAGAGTGCAAATACACATATACCAAGAGTCATTTATTCATAATTAATTTAATATAATATAATATAATATAATATAATATAATATAATATGCTGTTCTCAAAGACAATTTGAAGTGCTCACAAAGAAAATGCACATTTGTGACCCTGGACCACAAAACCAGTCATAAGGGTCAAATTTTCGAAATTGAGATTTATACATTACATGAAAGCTGAATAAATAAGCTTTCCATTGATGTATGGTTTGTTAGGATAGGACAATATTTGGCCGAGATACAACTATTTGAAAATCTGGAATCTGAGGGTGCAAAAAAATCTAAATATTGAGAAAATCGCCTTTAAAGTTGTCCAAATGAAGTTCTTAGCAATGCATATTACTAATAAAAAATTTTCAGTAGAAAATTTACAAAATATCTTCATGGAACATGATCTTTACTTAATATCCTAATGATTTTTGGCATAAAAGAAAAATCAATAATTTTGACCAATACGATGTCTTTTTGGCTATTGCTACAAATATACCCCAGCGACTTAAGACTGGTTTTGTGATCCAGGGTCACATTTGGCATTTCTATATTTACTTATTGTTATTCAATTAGCTCATATTGGGGTTCTGTAAAAATCATGACAGACCTGCTTTGCCTTTCGAGAAAGTATAATAGGCATAAAAGAGTAAGTATAACCTACACATATGCAGTGTTACATATGCTAGTGTAAATTATAGTGACTTACTTTCAGAGCAGTCGTCGCCAGTGAAGCCTAAATCACATATGCACATTCCATTCAGACACTGGCCTTGGTCACTGCAGTTTGCTGGGCATGTCAGAACAGAGCAGTCCTCACCGGTGTACCCCTCAAAGCAGACACACTTTCCATCTTCACAGTAGCCACGGTCCAGGCAGTTGTTGGGACACGTCTTTGTACCACAGTCCTCCCCAGTGAATCCGATGTTACACACACATTGGCCATTTACACAACGTCCTCGGTTATGGCAGTCACTGGGGCAAGTCAATTCGCTGCAGTCATGGCCTTTAAAACCATCATGGCAAACACACTTGCCGTCCACACACTGTCCACGCTCATGGCAGTCATTGGGACAGGTTTTGATGCTGCAGTCTTCTCCAGCAAAACCATCATGGCAAATGCACTTGCCATCTACACACTGTCCACGTCCATGGCAATGATTGGGACAGGTTTTGATGCTGCAGTCTTCTCCAGCAAAGCCATGGTGGCAAACACACTTGCCGTCCACACATTGTCCATGTCCATGGCAGTGATGGGGACAGGTCTTGATGCCACAGTGTTCTCCAGCAAAGCCATTATGGCAAACGCATTTGCCGTCTACACACTCTCCGTGTCCATGGCAGTCATGGGGACAGGTCTTGATACTGCAGTCTTCTCCAGTAAAGCCTCTTTTGCAAATGCATTTCCCGTTGACACATCGGCCACGATCGTGACAGTTATTGGGGCAAGAAAGCTCAGAGCAGTCATCACCTTCATACCCAACATCACAAATACACTCACCATTTATGCACTGTCCCCTGTCATTGCAGTTGTCAGGGCAGGAAAGAATGCTGCAGTCGTCGCCCTCGAACCCAGGGTCACATATGCACTTCCCGTTGAAGCAGTGCCCTCTCTGACTGCAGTCATTGAGGCAGGTTAACTTGGAGCAGTCATCTCCGCTGTAGCCAATATTGCAGACGCACTGTCCGTTGACACACCTGCCATGGTGGTTGCAGTTTTTGGGGCAGGTAAGCTCCCCACAGTCCTCCCCAGTAAAGCCCTCTTCACAATAGCAGGTTCCATTGTCACAGCGGCCACGGTCGAAGCAGTCATTGGGACAGATGAGCTCGGAGCAGTCAAAGCCCGTCCAAGGCTCTTCACATACACATTCGTCATCCACACAGCGCCCCCTGCCAAGGCAGTTGTTTAGGCAGTTGGTCAAACTGCAGTCCTCACCGATAAAGCCCTCTGCACAGATGCAAGCTCCGTCGATGCACTCTCCATTCTCACCGCAATCCACAGGGCACAGCTCGATGCTGCAGTCCTCACCGCCGAAGCCCTCGAAGCAGACACACTTGCCGTCTTCACAACGGCCTTGATCCTGGCAAAAGTTTGGGCATTCTGGCTCAGAGCAGTTGACTCCCTTCCAACTGGGCTCACACACACAGCTGCAGGTCTCAGTGCTGTAGTTGCCACGGCCACTGCAGTAGGGTTTGGTTGTGACTTCACCTGCTAAAGAGGTCTTTAGTCATTTTTGGCTTATGCTGAGAAACACTTTCATGCTGGTTTAGACAGGAATGGGAATTGTACAGAATCGAACGATTCCTTAATAAATAAAAGTATAAAAAGTATAAAGAATAAATACTAAAAATCAGACATTTTCTTGGCAATTTCAATGATGAAAAAACCAAGAAAAAATGTAAAGGTTTGTCGAGATAAATGCAATACAATAACTGCCATTTGACTTTAACATCACTAGCAATACACAAGCAAAAATGAGGTAACAATTCATTTAGATTTGTACAATAATACAGACAAAATGCATAATGTGTTTTAACTATATGTTGTCATATAACCAGTCTGTAAAAACTACATTGATTTAATGTAAGTGAGCTGAAAGCTGTATGTGTTTGAGTCACTAAAAAGATCAATTAAAAGAACCAGTCATTACAGTCAACTGGAGCACACTGGTTGCACTGCATGTTCATGATTCACTAGAAAAAAATCTGATCTTTTTTTTTACGATACTGATTATAAATAAAAAGCAAAACCAATTTTGACAGGTTTGTTTCGCGATCATGAAGAAAGGTCGAGATAAGTAATGGCTCGAGTCATTTGTATGGAGGACGAAACCTGCAAAAACAATAACTAAATAAATACACAAATAAATAAATAAATATGCAAATAAATAAATAAATGTGTGTATAAATACACAAATTCTTGTTTAAATACATATAGAAATAATTAAACGTGATTAAAGTAGGCAAATAAATAAAATAAATTGGTGGGCAAATGGAAAATGTTTAAGGAAATGCTAAACTCATCCTATTTATTTTCCTTTGATCACTCATTTATTTCTGAATGTAGTTCCGCGTGTATTTTTCCTCTGCACAACATGCTAATGAGAGGGTGTCAACCATGGGCTTGCTCGGGTCTTGTGATAGCTGGGGGCGCGGCTTTCCCGCTGACAGGAGATGCATGGTGTAAATCCAGTATAGCCTAGTAAAGTCACTTTTGCCGTTCAGCAGAGCAAGATACATAGAAAAACTGAGCCGTGTTGTCCGTACAGTATCTGTGACTTTACAAACGACCCAACGGAATGTCCAGAGGTGTCATTTCCAGGCACTCGATATTCGCAAATCTAGAAGTAACTAACTGGCAGCAGTTCGCTGTAAAAAAATAAATAGATGTAAATCAACTGTAGAGAACTGTAAATTAACAGTTCATTACTGACAGCAACCACAGCTGCCAGTATTCTACTGTTATTTTAAGGATGTCATGCCAATAAAGCAATATGAATTGAACTGAGTTTAAATGAATAATTGATTACTAAGCAATTAGATTAGATTATTATCTTTAGGATGAGTTTAGCATTTCCTTAAACATTTTCCATTTGCCCACCAATTTATTTTATTTATTTGCCTACTTTAATCACATGTTTAATTATTTCTATATGTATTTAAACAAGAATTTGTGTATTTATACACACATTTATTTATTTATTTGCATATTTATTTATTTATTTGTGTATTTATTTATTTATTGTTTTTGCAGGTTTCGTCCTCCATACATTTGTGAGGATGAAATGAATCAAAATATCTTTATCAATGCAACAACAGTCAGAGAGGGAATTTTTTGGGAGGCTGATATCTAAATTCAAATTGTTTGAACCAATGAAAGACTGCAGCAGGAAAGAGTTTATTTTTAGTGATACCTCTTGCCCTAACCACAAGCAGGCTTGATGACACACTAATGTGGTACTAAAAGCCAATTGGCTTGAATGGTTGTGGATAATGACTGGTTATGTATATGTTCATGCCTCTATATAGGTATGCAGAAGGGGGCAAATTGTATTTAGCTTGTGCCTTTCTCCTTTTTTTTTGCCACATTTTGGACGGAAGCAAATAGCTTTGTGTCATTTGGATATTCTTTCTGATTGGTCAGTTTAGTAGTGAGCAGAGCCTTTCAGCCTGATCAGCCTCCTCTAATATTCATGTAGTGATTAAACTCTGAGCTACTACATGAAAAAAATTAAAATAAAAAGATTCTGTGTTATGCCTGTCAGTGGATAAAAACAGAAGTTAAAGGGATAATTCCCCCCAAAAAATTAAAATTCTGTCATCATCTACTCACCCTCACTTTGTTCCAAAACTTTCTGACATTCTTTCTTCTGTGGAACATAAAAGAAGATATTTTGAAAAATGTCTCAGTGTTTATTTTATTCATTTATTTGTATTTTTATTTTTGTCCATTATACAATGGAATTCAAAGGCCCAAATGTTTAGTTAACTATATTCTTTAAAATATTTGCAGAAGAAAAAAATGTATGCAGGTGTGGAGCAACGTGAAGATGAGTAAAGAATTTCCATTTTGGGGTGAGAGTTTCCATTTTGGGATGAACTATTATTTTAACTTAGTCAGCATTGTTTTGTTTCTTTTGTATACATTTGTAATGAGACTCAGCCTCCTAATGGACTACCAAAGTATCTATGTAATATTTGGCCTCACCTGTAACCTGAGCACCACAACAGCTTGTTCCACTGGTGCACTGCTCTCTTAGACTGGATACCTCTGCCTCCAGCATTTCAAGCCTATTCAGAAGATCCTTCAGGTCAGGCATGTGGTTATCACAACTACAAGCTTGCTTGGGAATGTTAATCCTATGCGTAAAAACAATCTGATTCTCTCCATCTGTGGTGTGTTCTATGTGTTGGTCAGATTGCAGATTGGCCGATTTTGGCTTCAATTGTGTTGTTCCAGGTGAATCCAAGTCCACAGAGCACAGTGATCCAGAGGGAACGTTGATGTTGTATACATGGTTAAAAACCACAGGCTGATCAGGACTTGGGAGGGTCAAGTTCTCAGTGGTTGGTGACAGTGATTCTCTTCTGTGTCTAATTACTCTTTTCACCAGGCCAGCACTAGAGAGATGAACTAACATGGCTACTGCCACACAGGCCAGTAGCAGGCGTCGCGTCCCCATGATGATTTGTTCTTTGACTCTTCCTACTGGCGTGATTGTTCAAACTGTTTGAAGATACTGGAGATATGGGTTTAATCCTGCAAAATGGAATTAGAACAGTCACTCGGATTGCTTTTGCACAGTTCTTTCTAATGCATATCCAAGTGTGAACTGGAAATCCAGTGTCAAATTGCATTTATCCTTGAAAAATGGAAAATGAAACATAAATTACATCAATAATGAAAAATCCAGTCATTTAAACCAATATTAAAAATAAAATAATATGATTAATTAAAAATAAAAACTAAGGTATATAGTGTATTTGTATCATAGACTTTGCACAGAAAATCATGACTTAAGAAAAAGGAAAATTAAATGCTTTAATCCTCGACTCTTGTGCACTTTCCAACCAGAATGAATTATATTCAACTAAAGTAAACCACATCACACTAGGGAGTGTTCATATTCAGAATAAAAAAAGAAAAAGAATTAAGCATGCATGCCAGTAAGCAACACTGCAGGATAGACAGACACTAAGTACAACTCAGGTTATGGTTGCCTTGGTTTCCACAAAGATCATCTCTGGCCAATAAAAGCAAGGCAAACTTCAGCTCAGGAGCGAGGGCTCCAGCAGCGTTTCCTATGACAGGCTGCCATGACACACAGCAGGCAACACCTGAGTCTGAGGAGCGTACTCTCCTCTCTGACGCTCTGCCCACAGCCCATGCTGACAGATTAATACTCGCGCGGAGGAGACCATCTGCAGTGCTTCCGCTAGCGTGGGTGTTCAGAGTTTGCGCTTCTCATAAAAGTTAGCATTCTTGGACCATTCTCCAGACAGCAGCAGAGTTTTGCTTTAAAACACACCTTTCTCATTAAAAGAAGTTAGAAGTATAGCTTTTGCAGTGCTCAGGGGGCTTGTCACTTACTAAGTGCATTGGTCTGTTAAACATTTCATTCAAATAAAATAGCTGTAATAGCTTTTCAATGTTACTGTGCTGTATTGTAGAGTGTAATAGGGAGATTGAGGATGTCTGTGTTTAAACAGTCCTGATGTGCAGGTCATATGGTCACATACTTGGCAACTACAGGATTGTAGATTCAGTTTTCCATATAGCTGTTTTCCTGAATGCTATGAAAACCAAATGGGATCCATTTAAGATGGAAATAACCACTTTCCAAAAATGCTAACACTGACTTTTTAATACCATAAAACACCCAATATTTATACCAAATTAAGAACATTTATGTGTCTATTGTCTAGCCATTCAAACACATTTAACCCCTTAAAATGAAAAATGATTATTTACATTTTAAAGTAATAAATTTGACATAAAAGAGATAGATTACTCAAAAATTGAAATTCTTTAATCATTTTGAAAATATTTTGATGAATTCTTTGTGCATCAAATGAAAGTAAGTGTGGTCTAAAACAACACTGAGTGGACCCCATTAACTGCATTGACTAAACTAAACTAAACTAAACTAAACTTCTGTGTTTAAACAGTCCTGATGTGCAGGTCATATGGTCACATACTTGGCAACTACAGGATTGTAGATTCAGTTTTCCATATAGCTGTTTTCCTGAATGCTATGAAAACCAAATGGGATCCATTTAAGATGGAAATAACCACTTTCCAAAAATGCTAACACTGACTTTTTAATACCATAAAACACCCAATATTTATACCAAATTAAGAACATTTATGTGTCTATTGTCTAGCCATTCAAACACATTTAACCCCTTAAAATGAAAAATGATTATTTACATTTTAAAGTAATAAATTTGACATAAAAGAGATAGATTACTCAAAAATTGAAATTCTTTAATCATTTTGAAAATATTTTGATGAATTCTTTGTGCATCAAATGAAAGTAAGTGTGGTCTAAAACAACACTGAGTGGACCCCATTAACTGCACTGCATTGACTAAACTAAACTAAACTAAACTAAACTAAAATAAAATAAAATAAAATAAAATTTAGCAAAATATCTTCTTTGTGTTCTACAGAAGAAAGAAAGTCATACAGGTTTGGAACGATGTAGAGTAACTAAATGATGACAGAATTTAAATTTTTGGATGAACTATCACTTTAAAACAAAATAATTGGAACAGTCCTTCAGTAACAAAAGAACAATACAAAGTGATTACACAGATCATAATTTTGTCATGGCTGCAGGGGGGCTGACCCAAAGCCACAGCTTGCAAGCTGTGAATAAAAGCAGGTAATATCTTGCCAGGATCTGTTTAGTGAGTGGAGAGCTCACTTTGACATGTGATTAGCGGGACTGACAGATGAGCTCCAGCGAGAGGGATCCCACGGCTGCTGCCGCCCATCCGTGATTAGACAGACAGGGATGAATGCTTCTGTGATGGAGCGCTTAAGGGGGGCTCGATGATGGGAGACTCCCGATCTGGACCCTCGGGGGTGAACGGGACCTACTCCGCTTCTTGTTCCTCACGTCTAAACCCTGGAATTAAATCAGCAAAATAGGCAGAAAATTGCTTTGAGTCGCTTTGCAGTTTTAGTTCTGGATGGGTAGCTGGCTTTTTCACTTTGAAACCTGGCTTGTTGCCACAAGAATCGAAAAAAGAAAATGACTTTGAAGGAGCAAGCTGGTGTTTGTGTGGGCATTTGCCCTTACACCCTTAACCCCTAGCTAAGGGTGGACTGTAAATGAATGAAACTGGCTTCATGGCAGCAATGATGGATATGCTTGACTATGAAAGAATTAGCAGTTATTATCATTAGATTGGAAGAGATTTCTTCATTTTTTTTATGTATTTGCATTTTGAACAGCGAGAAATAGACAAAGCCAGTCTCTTTTATTAGAGCTCCATCAATACAGTGCTGAGCTCAGAGCAGTATGCTAATGCTGCTGCTTACTGGCACTTTCAGATAAACCAGACACAATGTGACTGCTGCTTTCTCATGCCAGGTCTAGTTTTTATACATTGTTACTTTCTCAGACTCTGGCTGGGCCAGTTGGCTTCTGTGTGTCAAATGTGAGAGGAATTTTAATGGGGTTGAACCTGCTGGCACACATATTTAGTGCTAGTGATCTAAATCGGTCCTGCGTTATGTGCTAAGTGCTGAATGCTGACTAGAGCATTTGAAAGACAGAATACCTCACACAGAGACCAGATGACTTTTGTAAGTCATAAATTATAGTGACAGTTAAAACGATTCTTCCACCACACACAAATTAGCTTACTTGCTGTTTGTTAAATTAGAAGTTTGTAGCCGTTTATAATTGAGCAATTAGCAAGTTAGCAGTTTGGGACTGTGGCATAATTAGCTACGATCAGATGTATACTACAAAGACATAAAACATAAAAGGAAGGAATATGCCATAAAACAGATTACAAAGTACAAAACATACTATTATTGTAAAGTGGATAGGAATTAGTAACACATTTTTTTAGATGACAACCGTTGATGTGACAGAATCTGTAAACGGAAAAAAAAAAAAAAAAACGAAAACAAAACAAAACAAAACATTTCTTCCTGTCTTTAGAAGGCTGATGGGGTGGTGAATGGTTAATGGTAAATTATCTGTTAAATAGCCGGGTATTGAACTGTAAAAAATGCTGTGGCTGCTTGAACAGTTCATCGTTCAGTTTCATATTCAATGATTAGAGATGACATTATCCACAGTCTGTTGAACAGAAGGGAAGCACAACTCTTCCTCAGTTTATACCTATGAAATCATCAAGCAGATTCAGTTTTGTAGGTCACCCATGACAGAAAGCGCTTGCCTTCACTGGGACGCAGCCTTAATATGGGTCACCCACAGTAGTGAATGAATTGGTACTGTCTAGACTCTGTTCACCTTAATAGATGTCATAAAATGCCCTGACAGTTTGTTTAATACTGGAAAGGAGTCGGTGATGAAAAAAATATTTCTCCCAGAGATGCCGTACACACTGTATCATTCCTCCACCGGTGCAGGTCAAACTTCATTAAAAATCAATACAATGAAATTAAGTAAATACTTCTTAATCCAGTCAGCACAGCAGTAAACCTGCTGAAAGGTGTCTGGTCTGAGTTGAAGACCCAAAAATTCTGATAAATCATAATTAAAAACATTACAAATATGTGTATGCTGTCATTAAGAAGTGGATGCTTATCGACTGCATGGTTTTCCAAGGTCATAATCAGGCAGAGGTCTGCTGAAACCAGCAACATGAAGCAGCTCATAATCATCCAACACAGAGATGGATTTCCAGACCAGCTCATAACGCCGCTCAATGGTGTGTGCTCTCGGATCGATGGCAAAGCATACAGCCACAGTTATTGCTTCATAAATGGATTTATAAGTCATCGCCTTCCTGAGCAACGCTCATTTAGCAGGAGTGGCTCAGTTGACCATTAGACATTTTTTCTGTACTTTCTATAGTTTTGCAGTTCTTAGTCTCTCTTACTGATATTTTTCATCTCTCTGACATCCTGTTACTTTTAGACTGTGATGTGAACGCAGGATGTGCATTGTGACTGTCCACTTGCCTCAAACGAGCTGATGATTGTCTATGGCTCACTACTCTATTTTGCTTGGCTTGTCTGTGCTTTAAAAGGAAGTTAGTTATGGCTTGCAGTGGGTTCACTGAGCAGATTCAAACAAATGAATATGTCTGGCAATCATAAACACGCAGACGTGCTGTCTCACCGCTGTATGTGCAATGTGAGCTTAAAGGTCTCTTAAATGCCACATAAAATGATCTCTCACCCAATGCATTCTCTTGGCATTTCTCCCATTGGTGGATTGACAGCGAGGTGTGAAACCAGAACCTAAGAACATACGGCACTGTATATTATATTTCCATCTATACCATTCGCATAATAATGAGATTAATTAATTATTAATCTTGCATCTGATTTCATTGCCAGAGTTTAAAGGTACTTCTTCTTTAATTCAATTTTAAACCCAAAACGGCATAATTTCATTACTGATTCCTGACTCCATTCCTGTGGGCTATTTTATATCTATATATAGGTAGAGGCATAAGATTACATGCAGACTGGTAAGTGAAAGGCAATGCAGGTTGTTTTCACAATGAAAAAGCTGGGTTTCATGACAGTCGAGGCCCATTTACAGAGCTCTAATGATGCTGGAAGATCTGATTGCACCGATAGGAGGTTTGTGTGTGTGTGTGTGTGTGTAAATGAGTGATAAGCTGGGCTGGTGTATGGGCAGAGATAGAGGTGTTTGCACTGCTCTGAATGGACCTGCGGTTCACTGACATTGCTGCACTTTCACCAAAGAAGCATTCAAAGTGGACACGATAGAGCTAGGGTGACATTGCCAGAGGTGAACTCATGCTGATTAAGGAGAAATGGAAAGTTTAGGACATGTCAGTCAACATCTGAGACCAGAGACACTGGAGAAGTCTACAGGGAATGAAGTTGAATAATTCCTGGCTTCAGCTTCCATGTTTGCTTTCTCTTAAAGTCCAGAAGTAAGGAATGAAGGAGGAACATTTGTTACTTGCTGTCTCATTTGACATTTTCAGCAATGGTGACCCCGTGTTTATTAGCTTAACCTTTGTTACAGCCAGAAAAAGCAGCCTCATATGTTCAGACCTTAAAAGCTCAAACTTCTGCTATTTCTGACTCCCGTTTGTCGCAATGAAATTCAAACACTATTCCTGGCACTATGCAGACAGTGCCTCACGTATTGGTCTTAGAAAGACAAATTTGTTTTATGATTTTTTTTTCTTCTAAAAGACATATTGTGGTCTGTCAGGAACTGCAAAGAATAGAAGACCATATTTTAACCCAGAAGTCAATTTGCTACAGAGTAAAAAGACTTATTTGAACACGGAGGTCATTTTTTATATCACAATGAATTCCCTTCCCAAAATGGAAAGCTATTGATCATTCTTTCCTGTTCTAGAAAGAATAAAAGCTACCATGTTTTTTGTTGCGTAACAGGAAATGGCTTTTTCTCCAACACCAAGAAATTTTGTATTTCCTCTTGCTGACTTAGAAAGATAAGCCATGATCAAGTGTGATTTAGCATAGCTGTTCTCTTAAAAAAGTCCTATAAATTGCATGCTGCCGGATCCAATTACTTACCCTACATACCTATAGTAATTAGCTTCATCACAATATGATCTTCTGGGACTGAGCAACAACCTTATTGACCCTACTGAACGTTTTTCCTCCTCCTGGAAAAAAAAATCTGTTTTCCCACACTGAAATGCAAGAATATTGACTGTGAGATTAAGACATCTATTTTCAGAGTTTGAATTGGAGGCAGAAATATCATAAATTCAGATACTCTGAGCTTTGTAGATTTCTCTTTTAAAACATCCCAAAAACTTCTGCTAACTTAAAACTCTTTCCTTATCCCAGGCCTGTAGTGACGAATGCATTCTGGATGTAGGGTCACTGACAATTAACCAGAGTTCATCACTTCTGAGGAAGACACATGTGCTCATCTCTTGGCCACCACCAACAGGGACACTGTCTGTGCTTTGAGCCCATGATTTTCTAGCCATGTTGCATTAGCATCAGACAGCCATTAAAACCATCTGGGGCTGTGACACTTTAACACATTGAAGTCTACTGAGGAAATCTTTGTTCACTGATGTCGACAAATCATTCTGAATGCCTCTGTGGCCAATTTTGTGTGTAGAAGAAAAGAACCCTTCTTTACAGAGCATATTTCAAAGAGACTGATAGACAGGCAGACAAACAGAGATAGATAGATAGATAGATAGATAGATAGATCTGGCAGCTGACAGCAGAGCTACACGAGGAGCAGCAGACTAAAGAGAGAAGCGCTAACACAAACCAGCTGCTGCTCTCCCTGGCTGGAGAGTGGACAGAGATCCTGGAAAGGGATAACACCCTCTGCCAGGTAACGGACACCGGCTGACCCACAGCTGCAGACAAGCCCACCACGCGTAGTTACGCCAAACTATCAACGCTCAGAACGCACGCTACTGTATCTCCCCCTCAAGCGGAGCTGGAATAATTGCTTAAAACAAATGTGGACCACTTCCCCTATAAACCATAATGAGCAGCCTAAAGCAAGTCAATGCATCAATAGCAGCCTTAAAAGTCCCTGGCTAACTATTACACTGTCAGAAAACATGTGCAAAACTATACCTTTATGGTTACAATAGCTTGTCACTGGGCAAGTACCTTTAAAGGTACATCTTTGTAATTCATGTACCCCTAAAAAGTGCATAGCAGTACCTTAAGGGTGCATATGACTACTCTAAGGTACTAATCTGCACCTTTTAGAGGTAGATAAGGTACAAAGTTGTCATTTTAAGGGTACTGCCTCAGTAACAAGATGTTGTACACCTAAAGGTAACATTTTTGCACAGTGTACAATATGACTTATGAACAGCTTTTTTTCCCAACAGCATTACAAAGTGGCACAACATCCTTCAAATCATCCTTCTGATTTAGCATTAAAAACAAGAACAAGCCAAAATTACTAACCCATTCAACACTGCAACACTCATAAAGAGTACAGAGTCATTTAATCTGTCACACTAACAGGTAGATGGAAGTGACTTGGAGCATCACAGCTTACCTTAGTGAGACAAATCCTCCTCTACTGGCTCAGAGATGTACCTCTGTCTAGGAACTGCGATGTGTTGCCAAACGAAAGGTTAAAAACATCAGGAACAGTAGAAGTGCTTTTTAATTTTCTTTAGACAGATGACAGTCCTGTCATTCCCTCCTGTCTCTCCGCTCTCAATGAGAGTGCTCCATCCAGCCTGTGTATGTCTGCTGATGCTGAGAGAGGGAATGAGTGAAAGAGAGAAGGACCTTTTGTGTTTGATGACGAGCATGACACGGCGGATGATGGGATTATGTACGGTGATCAGCATAATCAATCTTTAATCCCCCAAATCCAACCTCGCTATGGAAAAAAAAAGAGTCGTTTTAGTCAAGGTTGGTTCTCCTTTTTTAAACCTTAAATGCCTCTCCTGAGTGGAACCATATCTGTGCCGCAACCTCCGGCTTTTCGTGCTCCCCTGCACTTCTGTAAATACTCTTCCCTTTCAGAGTGCCAGATTATTCACCTTTCCATCTGCACTACCCACAAACACCTCCCCCTACGTGCACTGCAGGTAGAAGAACATCCAGCCAAGCCAGCTGCAATTACTGGACTATACGGCATCAAGCGTTTGTACAAACAGCAGCTTTTCTTGAAATAAACATGGAACAAAGAGCCAGCAGATCGGATTTTTCACTCCAGGCTTCCTCGTTTAAAACGAGAAACATATTTCATTAGAGATGAGATGATGTCTCTCATCGTGTCAAAATCTGACCTTTAGTCCTCTTGGGGGGGCAACACAGAGGCACCCGTGGAGATGGGGTACTTGAACCCCCAGAGAGGAATCAAGAAAGTTTTTTCTGGTGAGAGAAAATCAACCCCCATCAGCATGTGCTCAATAAATCATGAGTCTGTGATGATATGCCCGGTCGACATGGGATTTTAATCTAGGTCTCATTTCAGAAAGAGAATCACTACATTTCAAATCAGGCACAGCCACTGATCAAATTCAAATGCAAGTTTTTTTTCCCCGTCACAAGGCAAAAATGATATAAATTTCAGGTTCGCCTTGAATGGAAAAGTACAATGAGAAAAACAGGAGATGAACAGGCCTAGGATATTTCCCAAGGTGAACTCCACAGAGACATGCTCTTGGTAATGGTGTGCATGTTTGTGTTTTTCTGCAAATGTATATATGTGGTGGGTGGTGAAGGAAAATGCAGTCAGAATGAGATGTGAACTCCCAAACCTTTAGAAGAGACTTTATGGAAGTGCATTAATATAACGCCCACCATAATGTCATATATCCAGTCAGTATGTCTATCTATTTATGTCTGCCGTTATGCACAGAACATAATACAATTGAAGTGCATGAACATCAGTGAGTGATTCTGTGTGTGTGTGTGTGTTTTTTCTCAGGGTCTCTATCTTCCCGAGAACACATATCACCACTCTCCATCTGTTCGTACTCTCACCTTTTTCTCACACTCTTTCCTTCACTGAATCACAGCGCTTCACAGGGAATAGCAGTGGGAGCGGGAGCACTCCGGGTTCGTCAGGCGTCCCTGTGCTGTTGACATCCATGGGAAAATGCATCCACCAACTGATTTCCCAGATGACAACGGTGTGCGTATCATTCCCCAACAGCCAATTTCTTCCAGCCAAAACCAGACACAAGCTACAGGAACCCAGCTTTTACTTGTGAGAAGATGTTTAGACTCATTATAGTGTTTAAACAGAGGCACATTTAGATCCTCTAAGTCAGAGGGGGAAATAGTCTGGTGTCTGGTTGTTGAGAAATCTACTCATAATTCAAACTACAGTCAAGTTACCTGCATGCAGCTATAGACATGCATATAGACATGGACCTCCTCATCATGTACTGTACATATGCAATGAACTATTATATTTAAAAATATATATTATATCTATTTATATCTATAAACAAAAATGAACATATATGCCCAAACACAACACTTTTTAGCTATACTACAAGCAACTAACAAAAGTACATTATAAAGGTCTTATATTTCTTTAGGCTGAAAAAAAAAAACAGTGTTGGTTAGTATATTTGTTTTGTTTTAAGGATTTTTTTATATTTTACTGGGAAAACGTGAAAAAGATTCAAACAAGTTAAAGCTGCAGTATGCCGTTTCTGCTCAACTAGTGTCACCTAGTGGAACTACAAAAATAAAGCATGTTTTCAAACAACCTTTGCAAACGCCCCTTTCGTGCATCACACCTCCCCAACTCAAACATCACATACACAGCTCTTACAGGTCTATAAAAGTCAAGGCATGTCTCAAAAGGAAAAAGTAGACTTCTTTCAATAAAAGGTCCAACATACTTGAAGTTTGGCTTACTTATCTAGAAGAAACTCTGCAAGTTCGTCAAATCGACTGAAACGCAATCATTCCATCACACTCCTCCATCTTGTAAAAACACTGCCGATGTTTATCCTTGTTTCACCCTGTTGTCTGTCTCTGTGTATTTTGGCAAGTCTTCAAAATTTGGCTTGCATTTTTGTAAATTTTCTTTTTTCCACACCAGCTAAACACTCTCTGGCTCAGCTTGCTACAGTAGCCACGCCCCAAACTCTCGCTATTGGCTGCGCCGAGATATTCAAAAACATAGGCTGACAGGCATGTAGGACATTCATCATTGTATTTGAAATGAATGCAATGATTGGACGAATATTTTATGGTCCTGAGCCTATATATATTTAGACCACTTTAATTATTGAATGCTATCAGGATGGAAAGAAACTTTCAACTAGCAAAACAAACAGAAATGTTTCTGGGAAAAAAAACTGCCTACACTAGCTTTAAGAAGTCAGTTATTGGAGTGTAAATATATTCATATCTGATTCATATCTAATTTACAATCTGATCCATACAGAGCTGTATTTTTCTGAGAAAAAAAGAGAAGCTTGTTACTGGAATAAATAAAAACAGTACTATTTTAAAAACAGCAAAACTACTGCCAAACTACAGAAAAAATGTAGCTCTCTGGTCTGTTCCTTTCAGCTTTTAAAATACCTTTTTCAACAATTTCTTAAACACAAGGCAACAGGGAGTTGCACTATACTTTTCTTTTAATTCTAAACATTTTTTTCTTACAGTGTCTCAGTCCATATTTTCCACATTACTCCACATTTGCTGGCTATAACCAAATCTACCCAGAGGTACAGGCTCTACAAATGAAAGAAAAGGTTGCTGAGAGCACAGCTCGCATTCAGTTAATTTACCCACGTAATTGGTGGCAGTCCATTCGAAGAAAGAGCAAGGGCTTGATGGCTAGCAGGGCACTTTCTATCAGCACAAGTGAGATCTAATTATGAGCGGAGAAGCCCTGCTTGCAGTTGGGTAAAGTGTCAGAGGAGAAGGGAGCAATGATGAGACAGGACTCACAACTCACAGTCACCCTCATGACCCGGACAGACCTGTTTACCTCATTAAAAATGAATTCACAGGTAATATTGGCTTGTGTCCCATGCCCTCCCTCTCCTCCCAAGCCTTAGCTTTATCTATTATGCAGGAGGGAGCCCGTGCGGGACGGGTTAACTGAGGGAAGGTCATTTGGACAGCTCGTAGAAGTTACTCTTGGAGTGTTGCAACCCCGTCTTTGCCACCAGGTCTGGGAAATTAAAACACTAATGGCCTGTGTGAGTGTAAAAAGCATAGATTAAGTGGAAGGAGAATCAGTGAAATGGCCATCAGTGAAATGGGCCTGCGGTCATAATTGGGCTTGATTCATAATTTATAAAGCAAAGATAGGGATTGGCATGAATAACGAACAGCACAGTAAGAGGTGAAAGGCTTTTTTCTACTCTCCACATGTATGCATTAATCCAGCATAGGTGATGCAGTGAATTATGGTCATTAGTCTTTGGGAAATGAAAAACAGCCATTACAGCCTTCAAAGGTAGCTTTTTACATAATACCGAGACCAAAACAAGAGAGGGGATGAAAGAATTGTTGCAGACACATGCGATTTGGTGATATAGTGAGAGACAGTGATGTTTCGGACCACACACAGGTCACCATTGCTGTGCACGTACATAAAAAGCCTGTAAATTTCTGAAGACAAAGACAGCAGATTAGGCGTTTCGGTGACCCCGGTGACCTGACAACCTCTGAGGGGTTCAGACCTCAGGAGCCACGGAAATTGTGTCAGATTTTGTTTCTGCTTTTGTTAGCCAATAGTTCATGAGCATCTCTCTGGCACCGAGGTATGTGAAGATCCATACAAATGAAAGATTAACATGCTCTCTGGGAAACCGCACTACAAATACCATGTATGATCACACTACACTGCTTAATCTATTGTTTTTACCACATTTACCAAAGGTCTTTTTATCCATTTTGATGATAAGATGGAAAAGAATGAGGCACAGCCTTAAAGAACATTTACTATCGTACAGGGTAATTTAGAAAGCAGAATCTGCATCTTTCATTCTTTTCCAGTTCTGTATGTTTTTACAAAGACATGGTGGGAAATGGAAATGCCTACACATTCCTTTAACAGCACTGACCAAATTATAGTAAAACAAATAAGCCGTATCCTTCAGAGCAGCTCACGACATTGTGAGTCCAGTGAAAGCAGTGGGTTGGGGGTTGACAGAGATATCCGCGCTCAAAGAGGATTCTATAGAGTGAATAAGAGATGGACGAATGCTCAGTTCCCATAGCTCCTGAGGCACACAGGCAGCACAAACACATACATCATTAACATTTATGCAAATACCAGCAAAGTTTGCAGGCTTGTTAATGAATATGCATATTCTGTATGATGCAGGTTTAATGCTTATATACATTCTCACAAATAATTACCTATGATTGTCTCAAAAGAAATCAAATAAAGATTTATTACATGCATTATTACTTACATGCAGACCCAGTCAGAATCGGCAGATTTATATATATATATATATATATATATACTGCTCTGATTTTATGGAAAAATGTATGGGAAAATGTGTTAAACAGAAGTGAGTACTAGATTGTATACTCTTATTTGCAGCTGAAAACATGATCAAATTACCAAAACTATTTAATACAAAAAAAAAAAGCAAGATGCGTGAAACTTTGAATTTAAAATATTTTATTCCCATCAACTGCTTTTAACCATTGTTTTAAAAATCTAATGACACTGCACATACAGTTCTTATTTAAGTGAACCTATCAATAGATGAGAGGTCCACAGA